GCCTGGGCCCCTCGCCTGCGGGGGGCGATGGAGAGCGGCCGCCCTGGGCACAGAGGGCCTGAGAGTGTCTGTCTGGGACAGCAGCTGCCTTCCCGCCAGCGCAGACCCCAGTCCCGGGTGCAGCCAGAGGGGCCCACGGTTGAGTCAGTTTGCATGTTACACACTCCGCGCTCTGGAAGAGGTTCATTAGTGTCGCACGCCGTGGTCTCCATCACTTCCCTGCGTGGGACGCCTCGTTACAGCTCCCCAGGGCCCCGTCTCAGACCCACTGAGCCAGCCCTGGGGTGCGGTGGTGGCAGCGCAGATGCAACTGGAGAGGAGGGGCTGTGGGAGGAGGAGCCCCGCACCGCTGCTGCCAGGCTCACTTCTGCCTTCCCTTCCTGCGTTCCAGAAGCAGATGTTAATCCTGAGCCCAGGCAGGGCCCCTCGCCTGCACACTGCCCCAGGTGAGGAAGCCCTCGGGGCCAGCCCTCATCCAAGCACCGCCGCCCCACGTGCCCATCAGAGCTGGCATCTGCGTGTCCTGACAACGTCACGTGCTCGGCCTGCAGAGCTGGTTCAGGGGGGACGGGAAGGCTCTTCATAGCACAGCGTCTTAGCAATTGGGCACCAGAAAATTACCTCATCTCACACCTCAGGCCACCCACCAAAATGGCCTTATTGTGGATCAAGGACCTGAATAGAAAATGATGGGGTTTTTTTAGAAGAAAACAGGAGAAAATTTTGTGACCTTGGGTTAGGCAATGCTGAAAGCATGATCCATAAAAGAAAAAATAGAGCAATTTGGGTTCATCAGCGTTAAAGTCTCTTGCACTGCAGAAGACAACACAAAGACAATGCAGAGCGAGCAGCCATGGGCTGGCGGGGGCACGTGCAACTCACGCACCTCACAGCCGGCTTGTCCGCGGAGTACATAGCACCTCCACGGTCACCCAGGAGCTCAGTTTTCTGGAAGCGGCAGACGGCTTTCCGACATTTTACAAGGACGCATGTGCGCAAGGCTGCAGTGGAAGAGGCTCAGCCCAGGGGAAATTACGCCCGCGAGGGGGGTCACGGCGGGACACGGGTGGCTTGCCAGATGGCTGAAAGTTAAAGGGAACGAGGAAGGGGACCAGGGATTGGCCCAGTGCCACGCCCCCAGGAGTGGACAGACAGTGCGTGCACACGCCCCGGGTGAAATCCGTGAAGGAGGGAATTCGGACCGGGGCTCCTGCTCAGGAGCAGAGTCCACCCCCCTGGCATTCCAGGGTGGCAGAGAACACCCCAGTGGTTTCCAGGGCTGAGGGCGGGGTCTGCCTACGAGGAGGAGGGGTGCTGGGACCGTGCGGAGTGGGGCTCACACTGCGCACGTGTCCAAGCCCACGGACCTGCTCGCCAGCAAGGCCACGGCATTAAAGATCATTTAAAAACGCCCCTCCTCTGCGCCGGCAGCTCTCCGGGCGTGAGTGCCACAGGTGCAGGCACATGGGTCTCACTGAGGACAGGCCCGAGAGCACCTTCCCCCGGGGACGGGGCACAAGCCCTGGAGCCCTTGGGCCGTGGGGCTGCCGTCGGTCCTGGTCCTGGCCAGTCCTGGTCCCTGTAGGAGTCGCTCTCTGTTCTGCGCTGTTGTTGAAAAAGCAAGACAGACGCGGGCTGCCGTTGCGTGAAGGCGAGAGGCGTCTGTGCGTCCTCGCAACCACGCGCCCTCTCTGGGGGAAAGCAAAACCCGTACACCGCCTGGGAGGGCCCCGAGGCGGAGGGCGGTGGGAGAGACTTGTCGCCAGGCCTGTGTGTTGAGCCTGCACCAAATGTTCAAAGGGGTCTCCGCCGCGTACGGGTACAGACCCCAGCCCGGAGCCCCATGCTTGCAAGTGCCCGTCCTCCGCTGGCCGCGTGGAGGTCACAGGCATTCCCGGGTCCTCTGTGGCATCCCGATTGATGCCCACATGGAGGAGAGGACTGTGTGGGAAAATGGGCTCAGCCGGGTTTGAGGCCTCCGTGGAGGAGGGCCAGGAGCAGGGCCCCCGGGAGCAGGTCGCCAGACAGGAGGCCCTCAGCCTGGGTTTCTGGTAACCTGCTTTCCTGTCTCTGATGCCTCTCCTCTGCCCGCCACACGGGGCAGTATCGCACCGCGCAGGGGCATTTCCATCCAGAGCCCAGCAGAGCACAGGTCCCCGCCCTGGAAGGGCAGGCCCAGGGGAAGTCCTGCCCCCGGGACCTGGGCTCTGCCCCCTCCAGCCGCCCAGACCCTCCCAGTTCACAGGTTGGCCCCGCCCAGGCTGCCTGCCCCTTCTCCCAGTCCCTCAGCTGAGGGAGGCCCAGGGCCCTGCCCCAGGGGCCAGAGGCTTGCAGGGGCCTGAGCTGGGCCCCCGGGGGGCTGGGGGAGCCAGGCTCAGAGTGTGGCCACAGGCCTCTGCGTGGAACCCCAGCCCTTTCGCTGCACTCACACGCG